CTCTCCTGTCTATGTGTCTTTACCTCTACTTCTTCACCCATCTGTCCGGAGTGGTCTTATCAGGGGTATGTATGTTTCTTTCCTTGGCCATCTTTATTTATGTGGTTTGGTAAAATCTTTGAGAGGCATCCATCATCCAATGCATTATTTATTGGGACTAAATTTTAAACTGAATGTAGAAATTATAACCATATTTCCAATAACTAACAAGAACAGGAAACTGTGCCTCAGTCAGGATTTTATTCCTTCAAATCCATCCTATTTTTGTTCCGGTTAAAAATGGATGTGCCCTAATTTGTTTCCAAAGAAGTGAGATGAATTTATCTATGAATCTGTCCTTTGAAAGCTACATGGTTAAGAAATCTTGTGGACAGAGGGCAGGAGAAGCCTTTAGTTTAATGATGTTACCTGCACAGTAAACTTCATCACGCTGGCTCACCTGGGAATTTTAGGCCATTGTGAAGTGTAGCTGGTAAACACGGGCCAGAAAAGAAGGAAAGAAGGCCACTGGAAGGGTTTTATTCTTCCTTAAAAACCTGAACTCTTCCTTCAGGACTAACCTTTGATCTCAGCTATGGATTTTGTTTTCCTCTTCACAGACTGTTGGGAGGACTCAATACGAAATTGAATCAGATTTCACCCAGGTAGGTGTAGCTCAGCAGGAGTGTTATTTAGTGTTTTAGAAAGCTAGAGAACATCCAAGTGTTCATCGTTTATTCTCTCCACAAGTAATTAGCAGAAAACTGGAAAAATGAATGTTCTCAGGTGCCTTTTAATTTGGTCTTGATTGAAAACGAAAGGAGGATTTTTGCTTTTATCCGAAGAAGCATTGCCTCTTCCCCCTCTCAGGGATCTGTTCCTCTCCTTTGCCGTGAATTCTGCTCCTCTGTGTCACCTTGGCCACGCCTCCCCCCTCACTGTTTATCTTCTGTCCTTCTTTTTCCCTCTCCTTTGCTCTTAAACCTTATTTTTTCATTTTCCTGTTTTACTGACTTTTACATTTCTTTTCCCCAACTACATTTTTTTTGTACTGAAGGTGCATTAAACAAGCATTTTTAGACAAACATTTTTCAGCTCCTAGCTGCAAGAAGAAGCAACCCTCCCTATCTTGTCAGCAAAGAAAGAGATTGTAAATAAGAAGGAATTAAACAATTATCCACAATTTGGATTTGTGTTTTCTGTCTCCTGATAATTTTAATTCAAGTGTATTTGAAGGTTTTTTTCATTTACTTTGTACTTCAGCTATGAACGTGGCTTATTTTTCTCTTCATATTTTTGAGTTGAGCATATTAAACTTCTAAAGTTCTACATGTTCTAATATATTTTTATTCTTCTGTCCTTGAAAACGCCCTTTTAGAGTATCTCTTGTCGTTATCCTTTTGTTCTCATTTTCTCAGGATGCCTCTTGGCCTTGAGAATGTAACCTCTTCAAATAGTGTAGCAACACTTGCAAACTGGTTTCTATCATCTGGATCAACTGCATTATATGTTTTGTTTCCTATTATTGAACGCAAGGCTCATACCCTGTTAAATAAGTACTGTACCTTCTGAGGCAATGTGTGTTTCTAAAAACAGAGTCGTGATAAATTTGCAAATAGCAGAAATTCTTATCTTAGTCTGAAGACTCAGCATATCATTATTTTCTATTTTCTGAGTATTTTCAGAAAAAATTCCTACTTTATACAGAATGTTGTTTTTATGAAGTCAGACTTTCATTACAATAAAGAAGACAGTGGGCCACTTTCTTTTGTAGGAGGAAGTTAGTGGAGCTGTGATCATGAACTTACTCGGAGGAAACTTTTCCTCCCTATGAGCAAATGAATCTTTAGAACATTTCCTCCAAATATACTTTTTTTATCTGAAAGTAAATGGTTTGTATCTCAAAAAAAAAAAAGGATTTACTGGAATTCATGTCATAGTTAAGTTACCAAAACTTTGTGGTAAGAGCAAGGAAATTAAATAATCCTGAAGAAAAAATGTAAGATAATTTTAACATATCAGTCAACAATCAATGGCGTTAACATTTTTCTGTAATTCTGTGGTTGATTGTATTTTTAGCAATGTCTTAGTATAATATTTAGGGTTTAAACTGTAGTTCTTTAGTGACAGATGTATTCTGAAAACATAAAAATATTGATGATATCTCTAGGAAGCAAATGCCACACTTAAAGATTAAAAATGTACTCCAAAAATATAAATACTAAGTTTAGTAATAATAAAACATTATGAAATTCTCAAACTTAACACATTTAATTCTATTATAATCCTGGAAAATATTTAACATAGAAATATAGGAAACATTTGAGGAGCTACTTTTTACTTTGTTTTAATATTCATCATATCCTGTAAGTCAATGTTTCCAGGAATAAGAAATATAAAAATAAATCAAAAAACCTTTAATAAAGACTAAAGTACATCCATTTTTAAAAGTAGTTTTCTCAAGTTCTGGAATTCTCTATTAGTACAGCATATCATATTCATTTCAGTGTAAAAGGATATACCTAATCTATTTTTTGGACAATGACTACTTCTGCTCTGTTGTTTACTTGTTATTTTCATAGATTAAATGGATAAATAATAGATTCAAAAATAATAATGTTGAAGATAAATAAGTACAGTCATTCCTGTAATCCAATTTTCCACCATCATATGTATTGAAAATGAAGTTTTTAGCCTATTTTTAAGCTACAAATACATCTACAATGTCCATAGATCTCTAGTTTCTAGTATCCACAGAAGGACTAGTTCAAATACTTCCTGCTTAGAGTGCATTCAAATAATGAGTTACTATATATATGTCTTGTCAAAGAGTTTTATGCAATTAGACAAAAATTAGCAGTTAAATCTTGTTATTTCTACCCCAAATAACAATATGACAACACAGCTGATGCTAGGGAAATTGTGTGTGTTTGTAAAATTCTTCAACACACTGAAAGCTACACACAAATCTTTCAGGGGATATTTATATACTCACATTAAAATGGTAAATAGGGTTTACCACTAAATTAGGATGAAGATAAAGGTTTTAGATACATTTTATAATTTTTCTTTGTATAAAAATTGTTGTTATAAGCAAGAAAGACATTAAATAAGGAATCATTCATTTTTATCAGTCCTTCCACGAGTATTGATTTTTGAAAGCTTACATCAATAACCTGTTTCTTCTTTTTGGACATCCCTCCCCTATCAACAGCCTTTGTAATTTATTTCAAATTTTGTGAGTTGAGACTACTTCCCTGGAGCCAAACCAGATGTTTATATATACACAGACATTATATTAATACATTGTGGAAACAATTACGCTCTCCACTTTATGACCACTTCTCTTTGCGTAAAGAGTTCTGTTCCTCCCTTCCTTCCTCTCTCTCCCTTCCCTCCTTATGCCCTTCCTCTCCCTTCTTTTTTCTTTTCTTTCTGTTTTTTGCTGAGAGACAGAAAGAGAGAGAGAAAGACAGAGAGACAGAGACAGAGACAGACACAGAGACAGAGACAGAGACAGAGACAGAGACAGAGAGAGACAGAGAGAGGCTCCCTATGTTACTCATGCTGGCTTTGAACACCCGGGTTCAGAGGATCCTCTGGCCACAGATTCCAGAGTAACTGGTAATCTAGGCACCTGTCCCCACAGCTGGCAACTTCAAGATTCTTTTTATTAAGAACTCAAATAAAAGCTAAGTAGAAGTAGAACTTGAAGAAATTCGTATAGCTATCTTAAGATGATTGTTTGAAACTGGTAAGAAAGGACATGAGCCCAGATCTGTGGCATATATTCCAGTAGTGACTGTGACAGGGTTGTTCCTCTTGACAGCTTCAAAACAGACTCATGATGCCCATCCACGTGGCTACACTTTAGAAAGTATTTTTAAAATGACTCTAAATTCCTACAACCATTCAGTTGCAAAATCTGTTTGAATACTTAAGCTTCTTATTCTTTACTTATCTATGCTAAGTGAAGAAGAAGTGGTTTCCTTAATATTGGCATTCCATTCCTATTTAGATAATGCTATTAAGTAGTTTCTACAAGTGCGTTAGAAAAGGTGCAGTATTAGCTGTAGCTGAGAATCATAATCATAATGCTGGATCCTCCTGCAACTACGAACTATAATTTATTGGCTTGCCTCACTTGTTTTTCTCTAAGATCAATATTTTTATGTTGTTTCATTAAACTTTGTTTAAATAAAAGAGCTTTATAATTTTATTCAAGGATTATTCAAATGTGCGTGCCATTTCTAGAACTATGTAAATATTGTTATGTATGTTTATGTAATATTAAGTTTTATTTTCTTCATAAGTGGAAATGTATCAGTACAATTGATTAATTGATATGCCAAGAGAAATAAGATTTTCATACTGAAAACTAGAATGTAAACTCGAGCGTGGTTTAAAAAAACAGCTGTATCTATCTCATTTCCCATTGACCCTAGAGGCAGTGGTAATCTAGCTCAGAATAGAATATCCATGTGTAACACACCACAAGAAATGTTCATCTTCTGTTTTGTGAGACAGGGTCTCTTTATGTAGTTTGGCTGACCTTGAACTCACTACTTAACCCGGGCTGCATTGGATCTCCCTGTTATTTTTCCTGCCTCAGCTTTCTAAGCATTGGAATGACAAGTGTGCACCACCATGCTGAGCTTCAAAATAAATATTTAAGCAATAGAAATAGAAACGTTTTATTTGAACTCAGTGCAAGCGTAGCAGTGCCAGGTAAAGTTGATGCAGTCTGCAAAGGAGAATATTACCCCCACTTGTCCACATAGTATCAAATTTTAGACAGAAAGCACTGTGTCACGTTATGTGACTGTCTCCCAGTACACATAGTTATGTGCACAAAATTACTACGGTAAATTGAGCTGACATTGAGCAATCGATTAAAAATACATTTTAAAACTTCAGGCTCCCATTTTCATGTGATGATCACTGTTGGGGAAAGCAAGATTATAATGGTGAAGACTTCTTAATACTGTTCTCTAAAAGAAAAATATAATAAAGTCACTTGCCTCCCAATCCTGGCCTAAGGCGGTTGTCATAACCATCTAGGAGTCGATCCAAAATCCTGGTGAAGACAGTGGTATTGTCTTTAAGTTCATCTTGCACGGAAGGCTGTGCAGAGCTAGGGTAAGCATAACGAGAAGCACTGTAAAGGTTATATCCACTTCACCTAAAATCCTTCGCTAGTTAAAAACTTCTCTAAATGTTCCTACTTTCTATCAAGTCTTTGAAAATTCTGGCAATTTTTAAAAATCCCATATTTTAGCTCTTGCCATTTTCTCATATTTTTCTTCATCAGTGTGAGGCTCTTTATAATAATATTTCTAAATCTGAAAGGAAAATAATGCAAAATGAGTTTTGTGTCCTTACTTTTTGAATTTTTGAAGTGTATATTATATTTTAGTGTATACAGTATCTTCTCAGAGCAAGCAAGACTGTTAACACAAGCTAGGAAAAAAAGTCTAGAAAAGTTCTTCCCAAGTTAAAAAAAATATATATATATATATATATATGTGTGTGTGTGTGTGTGTGTATGTATATATACACACACACACATCTATGTGAGTTACAACTCAGCTCATACTTTTGGTTTTAAATTAACTTCTCAAAACACTCTGTTTTTACCCTTTTAACATCCTTTTCTCACCCACCTCCTACAGCTCTGCTTTGATTTCTTTGTTGTCCTTTTAAGATAATTCGTGAGAAACAGATGAAACATATTTCTTAAGTTAATTATGTTTTGAATCAAGGTGAAATTGTTTCCATCCTTATAAGATTTATTATCTGATTTTTAAATGTTTTTATTCAAATCTAAAAATTGAATTTCATCATTTCTTGTGTCAGACAGAGAGAAATCCTTGGAAAAGATCAGGTTCAATGCCTTTAATTTATAGCTCTCTAAACCATTACAGTTTCAGGATGTTACTTAAGATTATGCTGTAGTTTGTGAGCAAATCTGATCCAGAAATGAAGTTTTGTCAACTTTTAGGCTAAAACTTTTTTCAATTTTTCTATATAGGAAAAAGTATTCCTATTCAGATCTTACTGATTGAGAAAGTAGCTGATGTGTTTTACCATCATTATTAACTAGTCTTTGATTTTCAGCCTCTTAGTTCAAATACTATTTCCTGTCTAAGTCATATTAATATCTGTGTTCCATGAATAAGACTTTATGGAATGATTCTCAAGACACCTTCAAAATCCTTTGAGAAAAGCACTTTTAATCATAGAGAGGATCACACTCACTGACACACTTCACCAGAAGCTCTGACCTTGAGTACAATGAACAATAAACACAGGGCACAGACTGAGAAGCTGCCACAAATCTCTCATATTTTCTCCTTAATGGATGTTTTTGCTTCCTCTCATATATTTATATTATTGAGAAATGTAACAAAATTAGTAACTTTTTTAACCACAATTCACTTATCTGACAGGAAAAGAGCTATACTCAGATTTTCATTTCAAAAACAAACTTTTGCATGTAATTACTTTGCATTGACAACAGGCAGTGGATGCTTTTCTGGTAAAGTTTTAGTTTAATAAATTAGAATGCCTACAAGCTACCCATGACATTAAATATATAAAGTGTGTTCCTATGGAACAATGTTTTATTCTGCTACATTCAACATTAATGTCACACAGATTGAGGGTTTACTCTTCTTTGGTAAAATTAAACCTCTTGATATTTTTTTAAATCAAATTTTCAATGAGCTCTGCATCTTCCAGTATATATCAGTTGCAGATGACAGCAGTAATGCAAAAATAGTTTTCTTGATGCAGTTATGTGTAAAAACTCATTGTCACAAAAGCAACTGCCATGCTTGCATCTTTCAAGGATATTGGAAGGTCATTTTAATAAAAATGGAAAAGAACCGCTAGCACACCTTGCGTTGTGAAGAGCTCCTGCTAGAGAATTCTAAAGCAGAAAGCAATAATCAAAAAGGGAGAAGAAATGCAATGGGATGACATGGCACAGTGCAGCTAGATTGTTACCCAATCTATGGAATATGGGGTGTCTTTTACCTGTGTTCCCTATACTTTAAACACTTACGCAAATTACAGCAAATGCTTTTCTCTCAGGTTTTGTCTTATAAATTTTGCTTTTACCAATTGTTTGCATTGGGTTACATGTGTCAAAAGCGATTCCCCCTTCCCCAAGAAGACTAGTTCTGCTATCTCATTGGAATGGAAATCTTTCTTTTATGTGAGTTTTTAATCTGTTCACTTTTAATTTACTGTGTCAAATTGTAATTGCCAGAGAAGAAACCTAGGAAAATGAGCAAGATTATTTGTTTAGGAATACATACTTATAAATACATATACTACTTAGGCAATGTAGTGTTTCTTAAATCGAATACATATTTTGAAGAGAAATGTCAGTTATGTTACCTGATTTTGATTCCATATGAACCACTATGTAATAAAACACTGCGCACTACCTCCATCTACAGGTCATTGCAATAGTAACACTTGATATAATTTTTCAACAGCGGAAGAACTCAAATTAAGAGTACCTGAAAATAATTGTTCATATGGTAGTCAGTGTTAACTATGCACAATAGGAGAAAACAACACATAACTTCTTAATTTAAAAATCTGTCCTCATAAATTTATATATCTTTCCAGGCTAGTTCATCTCTTTTCCTTAACTCCTAAGAGTTGTTACACTTGACAAATCCTAGGTTTGTTTTTTCTTTTTAATATAGTTAATATTTTATGAGCCATAGGAACAGGTTATACAAAACAGTTTAAAGCACATAAAGAGGAATTTAAGTTATTTGGTCGTTCATATAGTTGCAACGATAACATCATGTATTCTTGATTGGATCATTAGGAAATATTTTGAATATGCTTAAACTTATTAAATTATTTCTAATAACTTGTCTGCATAATAATTATGCTTAATTAGAGAAGTTCAATTTAACCTAATATTTTAAATGTTTTTCTACTATGTTCTCCTCTCTTGGTTATACAAAAATGGCTTCAAAGCATAATATGCACAAGCATTTACAGATTTTAAGACTGTCAAATTGAAAATATTATTTTAGACTTTCCCCCTTCATATATTCCCAATTTACTGTATGATCTTTACAACTGGCTAGAAATTTTGTTTTAGAGAATCAACTTACATATAGTATGCAGACGTTATTTGGGGTAGCTTTTTCCATGAACTGAGAAACTGCGTGTTTTGTTCAGTTATAACTGAATAGTGAAAAGTTCAATTTACGACTTAAATGTTGAATTAATCCCAGTGGTTTAAGTGTGTAACTAACACTCAATAAGATGGTTAGTTTTTCATTCTATTCTTCTTTATTCTTAGCTGGAATTTTATAGCAGCTAAGGTGTTGGTTTTGTTTTTAAATTCCCTTAGTCATGAATTCATCTGTAGACAATTTTCTTCCCCCTGAAGGAATAAATGAAAAGTTACAGAAATTCCCATGCAGATTGAAAATAAAGTGCCCCCACCTTCTTCCAGTCAACGTGCTCAGAAGGAGGGTCCAGGCCCAAAGATAGTCAGAGAGACCCGGACTTTTCTTCATCGCGGGCTTGAGCAGCTGAAAAGTAGAATAAGTAGAGATCAATGTGTCTTGCAAGAAACATCAGGTTAGAATCACTAGGGCTGACTGAGGCAGTTCAGATGAATGCTTTGAAGTCAGGAAATGACCTCACTGGAATACGACACCTCATTGGAAGCAATGGAAACCTGGACCATCCATTCTCCACTTTTTCTTCCCATTCCTCCATTCAAAAGTGCATTAGCACCTTAATTTCTTCTGTCAAAGAGTACAAGTTGAAATGCTTTAGGTGACAGTACTGCTCTACATAAAAAATATGAGTTTATTTCTCTAGGTGTTATAATTTATTACAGTTTGCTTTATCCTCTTCTTGTTGTTTACTATCTAAAATTTTTCACCTTTCTGATTTGAACCCCCATCACTCAACTCTGCTTTGAAATATTTTAGCTAATGTCTGAAATGAAAAAGACATTTGGAGGTAGAATGTGGCAGCTTAACATGCCCTGTTGACTGAATTCGTCTCTGAATTCTGGATGGTACCTTGCCGTCAGAAGCAACTGCATTATCTCTTCATAAAGACCATTGGAAACACACTGTTGATTACCAAAGTCGTGTTTCTATTCTCTGCCTGTGATTGCCTTGTTAAATATGCTCACTAATGCTTCTGTGAGGCTAAGGGACATACTTTATAGTCAAGCCATGTGCTGATCTCTCTCTCGTACATACAAACCACACACACATAAATGCACATAAACATGCCCACACATATCTCTCAATCCCCCAGTTCTGCTAGGTTGCTGTTAGAAAATATTTCATCTCAAACACATGGAAGCAGGGATGCTTAGCTTTTGCATGAGAAAGGATTTCTTTTTCCTCTTAGGTAAAGTGCAATCAATCAGGACCCGATTGTTGGATTTAGACTTGATGCTGGGATCCTGGAGAAACGGAGAAGTGTAGAAGCCTTGTAGAATTAAATGTATGCTTAACCAATATGTGGAGCTGGTTTTGGATATGCAGTACCCTACCTGTCTAAGGAGCAGATATGGTAACATTTTCCTTCAATGTGCCGCAATTAATTCCATCATAGCATAGTTAAAGGTATTTGTTAGCACTTTCCTGAAGATACACACATATTTTAAATCATATTTTAACAAAAACTCTATAATTCAATGTGGTATGCCTTTAAATATATCTACCAAATGCTTTCCACACTCTCAGGGATCATTTCAAATCAGTGAAAGCCATTAAAAACAAGCTTGTAAGCAACGAAACATAATTAATGTGTTTGGAGAGCAATGGTGTACAGATAAGAACTGTGAGCCTCACATAGCTCTTATTTAATTTAGTGACTGGTTTTGACACAGATGAGTAGAATACAACAAGCAATCTCGGATAAATATCATTATGTTAAAATATTGCATCTAAATGTCACGATTATAACGTACCCTTCCATTAATCTTTAACGTCTGTTAGAAAAGGGAAAACCACTTCTCTTAGCCCTGCTAATTTGTGTTCCTCTTTATAAAAAGAGGAAACTCCTGAAGGGAGAAAGAAATCCAAACAAAAACCCCAAAGCAAGAAACCATAACGTTTTGCCCTCCTCTTATATTTTTAAAAAGAGAAAAATAAACCTAGCATGGCACTTCAATAGAGCAAGAAAGTTTCTTGCAAATACAAACATAATAGTTTAAGGAAACACGGAGCTGCCTCCTTACCCTTTTCCACCTTCAATCTCCCATCCAGACACACACACTCCAAACACCCAGACCCCCTGCCGTCCACATCAAATAATGAGTTGAGTTTTTCCTGTTCAGAATGGGAGAGACCCCCCCACAGCAGAGGGCATTTCAGCAGCGTCCACTAAAAAAAAA